TGTTAGTTTTTTTTTTAAAATTTCATTTAGTACCTATTACCAAAATTAAATAAACATCATAGAAAATTAATTATATCTCCTAAATGAATTAATATCATTTCGCTATTAATTTTTGCTCATTCTTACATAGCTTCAGTTGATAGCATTTGTAAAAATTTATCAAACGTTAATGGCGTCAAATATAATATGGTGATTTTTTGCCTTTCAAAGTTCCGTCGCAAGGACAATGAAAAGGCCAAAGTTTAAATGCCATACACTTAAGCAATGGGATGGTTGGTTGCAAAAGTGAAATTGTATAGATCTTTTTTAAAATGGTATAGCTCTTTAAAAAAAGCCTTTTACAGTGCAATTGATCGACGCAAATGTAATTGATCAAGGCAAATGATAAGCTCTTAAAGAGTCTTTCCATCATCAGATGCAGTTAGTTTTAAATTCGTACTTTAATTGAAAATAATTCATAATTTGTCACTTTTGCACTCTGAAATTCAGTACTTAATGTCATATACTTTTACAGCAGAGGACCTCTTAACCAGTCATCGAGATATAAAATACATAACATTACATAACGGTAGAAAAGTCTGGGGTGTGCCCCGGCTTTATCCAGTGATTCTTCATGCAGTTTTCTTTGACGTTAGAACTTTCCCGCTCGAAACCCTAATTGCTTAGAAATCCGTGTAAATAGAATCCTGTCGTGGAAGTTTTAGACGTTATTTAGCTGTTCTAACAAATGAAATGCATAGCAGACTAATATTGTCATGAATATCTATTATATATAATTCTCTTACGTGGCTCCCAAATTTTGGCTGTATTTCTTTTCCGCCAGTGGCAACGTTTGCTTTGTTTTGTTTACGTTTTGAAAACACCAAAGCATTCTGCCTTTTAATGATGTGTTTCTGATCTAATATATATAATTCTCTTACGTGGCTCCCAAATTTTGGCTGAAGTACTTTGTACAACTAAATAAGATTCTTTTCACAACACTAAAATATTTACTTTATTTTCTTCATATATCAGTCGGCAAAGAATTCTGTTAGGTTAAAAAAAATTTCGCTAAAAAAATAACGAATTCTAAAAAATAAAAATGCTGTTGCCAGCCATAGAATTTTTTGAAAGTTAACTTAGCAACATAAATCAAAATGACATAGAAGCGCAACTAGATCAAAATTATGATACCTGAGCGCTTGACGTAACAAATCCTTCAATTCTAAAAGTGTTGTATCGCCAAATGCCCAAATTAACAATTGTGTTCTTAAAGAAATTCTATAAAAA